CGTACAAATCATACCAATATTCAAGACAGACATTTCAAATATAATAACTAAAACCATGCACCAAATTTGCGTTTGATAGCTGTTTGGTAATCACATACACGCGATATTTCCAGCCACTCATATAAGGGGAGTTAGCTTTAACAAGCAGGAGATATGGACCAAAAATAAAGGGATATTTAGGGAGACACTACTTCAGATGATGTGCTTATAGGTAATACGAAGAGTATCATAAAGTTATGTTTTGCTGGTAAAGGTGATGTATAAATTTTTGTCTGTTGGATTTTTGAAAACCACCGGAATTCAATCCTATGGTAGGAGATTGGGAGACAAGGCCGAAAATCTGGGAATTTTGTTCCCTGAGGGGTGGGTTCGGGATATGACATGTATGGGTAATGTTGCCATGTCACATTATAGATTGTTAGCCTCTGATGTCATATAAAGTTTTATTGTAAATAAATCATATAAGGTATAATAAAATGAATTTACAGTGATGTAAACTAAATATATAATGAAAGTAATACTTTATTATTATATTATTTTATTATTTACATGTACATGTATATTAATTATTATATTATACAGGTGAATGTAGTAATTTTCTTAGCACAACATTCAATATATGTAAACCACTAGCTCTGATGTGGACAATTTTAAAGCCTGGCTGACTAATGCCTGGACTGACCTGTCCATGGTCAACTATCCATACCCTGCTAATTTCCTTGAACCTCTTCCAGCATGGCCAGTTAAGGTGAGTAGTTCTATAATAATAGCACTTCATGTATTTAAATGCTCGTTTTGTTTTCAAACCCACTTAGTGGATATTAAATTACAGTAGGTTTAATACTCAATTTGTTGAAAGTGTTGAATGATATTGTTTTCTTCAATTATGTCAATAAATTTAGTAATGAATCTACATGAATGCAGTATGAGATTCTATTGTGGACCTTTTTGAACTTAGAAAAATTCTACATCATCCAGACTTTTGTTTCACTCTCATTGTCACATTATATGTCGTCACAAAAACTTTTGACAGAGATGAGGGCATTATAGATATGAATATAGGAGATATGCTCCTGGTCGATATATCTCTAGTAACCCTGACCTTGCAAATATTAACCTAAATTACACTTGTAGTGATAATAGTTATCATTTGTGTTATAATCCATCAATAAATGATGACTAAATGGTCCCCGTTCACAAACTTTGGCCTCTCTATGTGACCTTGACTTTGGTAGTTTGGACCTGAATTATGTGCGAGATAAGCCTCACAATGGTGAACATTTGTACCAAGTTACATTAAAATCCCGCATTCTAACACGATCCGCATTTTTCCCTATTGAACATAGAATAACCGAAAGTGTGTGTTATTATGCAACAGAGTCACAGTTTGACGTTCTATATTTAGACATGTGACGTAATCATTATACACGTGACGCAACCACAAAAAAATCCAACGTGCTGAAAATAAGTTCGGAAACAAATCAGGCGCAATTTTGCTTAATATCAGGAAAGGCAGCATTTATTTGTTGATGTCGTGTTAGAATCGAAATAATATATCCAAATCGGTGATTTTATCGCTTTATAACATCACTGTTTCTCGTTCGGATGCGCATCATTATATCACTCGGGCTACGCCCTCGTGATATAATTCCTCGTATCCGAACTCCAAACAGTGATGTTATTGAGCGATAAAATCACTGTTTGGGATATATTATTTCTTAAATGAATGAAGAAGTTCGGCTCCGAACAAGCATTTTTCAATGAACTTTTAGTGTAACCTAAACTTTAACCCAGAGACCTGGTTCATGCACTTGACCCTGCTTCTCATAGTGGTGAACATTTCTATGATGTTTCATTAGAATCCGATCATGCATGGAAGAGATATGATCTGGACAAAATGTCAATATTTAATCATCTTAAGTGACCTTGACCTTGCATAAATTACATGTTTTACACCAGTAGTTATGATAATGACCATTTGTGTTTCAATCCTTCAATAAATAATTACTAAATGGTCTGAATACACATTTTCATATTTTTATCTGAACTTTGACCCTATGTGTGACCTTGACCTTGGCCTCAGAGACCTAAATTTTGCATGTAACACTCAGCCTTACAATGGTGAACATATATGCCAAGTTATATTGAAATCCCTTTATATGCATGTTGAAATTTTACTCTTGACAGACCTTTTTCAATGACCTCTAAGTGTGACCTTGACCTTTGAGCTAGAGACCTAGTTTATGCGCATGATACTGCTTCTTATAGTGATGGACATTTTTTATGAAGTTTCATTAGAATCCCATCATATGTGTAGGAGATATGCTCTGAACAAAATCTCCATATTTTATCATCTTTAGTGCCCTTGACATTCATATTAGGTGATCTTGATATTGCATTTATTAACCTTAATTAAATGCTTCACACCAGTAGTTATGATAATGACCATCTGTATTTCAATTCCTCAATAAATGATTACTGAATTGTCCGAACACACATTTTCATATTTTTATATGAAATTTGACCCCTGTGTGTGACCTTGACATTGGCGGCAGAGACCTCAATTTTGCATGTGACACTGCGCCTTACAATGGTGAACATATGGGCCAAGTTATATTGAAATCCCTGTATGCATACAGAAGTTTTTCTATAGACAGGCGTTTTTCAATGACCTCTAAGAACGACCTTGATCTAGAGACCTGATTCATGCTTATGTCATGGCATGTCATAGCGGTGAACATTTTTATGAAGTTTCATTAAAAGTCCCCCTCTGTGAAGGAGATATGCTCTGGACAAAGATCGGACACCGCCTGTCCGCCAGGGTGGAACTATAATACGAACAGTTTTTCAAACAGGCATATGAAAAAAAAAACAAACAAAAAAAAACAACATGACATTAAAATACAAAATATCCAAGTTAAATGTAGTTGTATAATCTCACTTCTAGTTTTCGGTTGGAGGAGCGGTGGTGAGGGAAAAAAAGAATATATACAAGTTAAAATGGTTTCCTTTGGGGAAAATTTGTAATAATTTAAAGATATTTCATTTAATTCTTTTCAAAATTGTTAAAAAAAAACACAAAAAAAACCCCCAGCCAAAAACAATTTATTGTTCAGCACGACATTATTGTTGTGCTTGTTGTATTTTTAGTGTCAACTTTTCGGCATTTTCTAGTTGGGTGGTTCCAATATTCCTACTTGAATAATGTTGGATCACCCTTAGGATATGTTGCCTGCTTTTTAAATTTGTCTTTTGACGTCTTATTTGTGATACGCAGGCTTCATAACTTCTGATCCCCTTTCAAAATTCCATTTTATTTAGTTCCGCCCATTGTTTTCTCGTTTAGGGCACACGCTTTTTATCACTTGGGGACCATACGCCGCTTTTCATGGAATGGCACGGAAGTGTCACATTGAAGGTTCCATGATAACCGCCGTATGAACACATCTGCGGATGTTTCTGAATTCAAAATTTTACTATTTCATGTTTAAATGTTGAATTCTGCTTAAGCCGGTGCTAGGGGGGGGGGGGTGGACGCTAACTTGCACTTTCCAGTACCGTCCATGAACAGGCTCAATCAAACCGAGCCTGCAACATTTTCAATTTTGCCGTGTTGGGTTTTCTTTAGGGATTCTGTATTTATCTATTTTGGGAATATAGTTGCCAAAATAGAAGAAGGTTTTGGGAGACCGATGACCTTTTGAGACCGGAAAGGACGATTAGTAGGTTGACCGTCTGTATCATTCATCAATTAATAACGATCTGTATGTTTTTGGTATTTTTTGGATTTAAGTGAAATAAAACAATTATTTCTTTTTAAGAAAGTGATTTAATACCTTTGTTTGAATAATCCCATGAAAAAAGAATAAAGAATTAAAGAAAGTAAACACAATATATATACATGTATATTATTATGGCAGATGCCACTACGAATGTTTTAATTCCATATATTTTCATTATATCAACAATTTATTTTTTGTAAAATTTGAGATTGATATTAAAAGAACATTGAAAAATTTCAAACACATAAGTTTTTCCACCTCAAACGGTCAAATAATGATAGAAAAATAGAAATAAGACGTTTAGTTATATGTACTTCTAATTATGTGTAATTCTCCAGAGCTATATCCGTAACGTACCAGACTACGGCGTTTTGCTTGGTTTTCGAAAAAGTCAATATAGTCTGGTTACTGTCGTACTATAAAATTTATTACTATTGAACCGAGAGAAAAAGGCAGGTAATCCAGACTAATGTCAATAAACCAATCATTTACGGTTTACAGATCACATGCTCCTCCATATACCGAAAAAAGGTCACGTGCTCCTCTATGCCTCTAAAATACCTGGAGCCCGCAGGGAATAAAGGTATTGCAGTGTTTAACTACTAATGTTATTCTAGTTCCAATGAAAATGATAATGTATAGAAATTGTCAATCGCACATATTTCAATGAACGGAGCGGTTTTGCGCAATTCATTACACCTTAATCAAACCAAGCCAAATGAAAGTGCACATTTTGCGGCTACAGCTGTTATTTGGCAGTCATTAGAACAAAGAAACGTACAGTTGTAAAGTCGAGACATGTGGAACAGATTAATAAATGTTGTAATATAAGCTAGAAATACTTATCAAATAGAAATTAGTGATGGTTACTAATAAAACATAAACAAATTTATATCATTATATGCAATATAAATTACCATTGTATGAGTTATTTCAAGTTTTTTCCCACTAATTATCAGAAAGAAGAAATCAACACAATAATATGTAAACATTATTTGAATATATATACATGCATATTTAAGAAAAAACATGGTCTTTTGTTATATGAAGTCAGTGTACATGTTTTATTCTTCATCAGTTAATACATGTTTAAGTTAATATTAATGTTCTCTGTATCATCATGTACATAAGTCAATGTTTATGTTTTTATTCATCATGTGATAATATCTCAATGTTTATGTTTTTATTCATTATGTAGTAACAGTCAAAGTTGTTGTTTTATTCATCATCAGAGTCTTCTTCAATGGTGGAAAAGAAACATGTAAATGACTTCGATATTCCTTCAGAATTCTTAGTAAATATAAATGCAAATTTTTCATCAATGTCAATTTCACCAGAAGATAAATCAATTATTGATGTCCTTAATTTTTCGAAGTCTGAAGTTGCGATCTTGTCGTTATTTATCCTAACTGTTAGAGGCATTTTCCAATCTTCCTTTCTGAAGACATTTTGCACTTTCCCATCAGTTGCCATAGTTACAATGCAGCTTGCTTTTCTGTCAGAAAAACAGATCAGTTGCTTTTCATCATGGAAGGATATATAAGCTGGTTGTTGGAACAACTGCTCACCTGCTTGATATTTTGTATCACATTTAATTATTGTTCCTGTTGTATTCAGGGTTAAAACTTGTGCAGGTTTACTGCATGCCACATACAGCTTGTCCTCTGCAAAGTGTATTCCCTCACATCTAGCACCAACGCTGATTTCGTGGTCCTCTATAATTTCTTCATCTTCAACAGACATGAATATGATTTTGTTTTCATTTGGCAATGTTAATGCAAACTGGTCTTCATCAATAGCTGTAATATCCCATGGACATGATGTTAATTCTTTCTCTGTAACCAATGTTTCTTCATCTACTGCATACAGCCTTATACGATTGTAAATTGTATCTAGCATGATTACATTTTCATCTGATATTGGGCATCCTCTTGGCATCCCGTATTCAGGATAGTTTCCATAGAAACTCTTCAGATCGTCTTCTGATACTGTTTCCCCTTGTACATACAGTTCACCAAGAGCATTCACATTTTTCAGCATACTGGTCAGGAACTTGTTTGGAATAAAACAATATTTGTCCACTTTGTTTATTTTTTGTATATCTGCTACTTTTTCTTCGAGAGTTTTCAGTTTTTCTTGATTTTTCTTCAATGAAATGAATAGCTGTTTGCTTTGTTTTGTTTCCTGTAGTATTTGAAAATCTTCTTTCATATCATCTAGAACATTTTTTGTATTATTGGCTGAATCTTCGACTTCTTTCAGTTTTCTAGCTTCATTGTTCTCTTTTTCCTCAGCTTCTTTTTCAAGTTCCTGCTTCTGCAACTCAAACTGCATGTTGATTTTCTGCTGTAACTTTTTGATTTCATAAAGAGCTCTTTCTCTGCAAGATCTACTTATTGCTATATTTGCTCTTGCAGTTTTTATCTGGTCTTCTAGGTTGGTCTTGGTTGTCTCCATTCTTGTACAGAATTCTTTGTATGCAGGTGATAGTTCCACGTCCTTAGCTATATCTGTGAGGGTGCAGATTTCAAGGCATGGTTTGTGGTGTATGATCATACAAGAGTTGCAGCCAACTGTCTCATGTGTTTTACAGTAATATTTAATCATCTCTCCCTCATGATGTGAACAGGTTTGAGAGAGACTTTCATCAACCTTTCTCTTTGGCATTTCTGACTTCCATAGCAATTTGTGATGTTTCATCGGTTTAGGAAGGCAATGATACTTGAAGCATTGATCACAAAGGTAATGCTGACATTCCACACAGAATCCTTCTGCTTCCTTTTTATCTCCATCTTGGTAACAAGGGTCACAAAATAAAAAGGCACTTGTTACTTCCTTGTTTGGTTGATTTGTAAAGTCTGTAAGTTTACCAGGTACACTGTCAGCCATCTTGTTTATGTAAACTCTGTCTTAAATATGTTTTAAGTTTTTTTCCATTTAAACTTCACTTTTATTTGAAATAGAATCTGTCACATTTTATTATCCACTTTTATTTCCTGTTTCCTGAGCTGGCTTGTTGAAATCATAATCATGTTGGCTGTTGTAGGAGAAATACTTTACAAATACAAATGCGTCCGATTTACTTGAAATGGACGTATATACATACAAATAATCAGGATAGAGACAGATTAAATCCGTTTGCAATAATTAAGAAACTTGAAAGAAAACTCGATTATATGTCCTCAATTTACTGTCACAAATGTCGGTCGGATATACACACTTGATCATTGTAGTCTACTTGATTGTGTTATCAAGAATACTTGACATAATCGAGTAAATATGGGAACCCAGGCATTGCAATAATTAGCGCTTATAAAATTGTCAGTTTGCTCTTATTTAATTTAAAAAAAGTCTTTGATATAAATGTCGTAAGTACAAATAAACCATAAAATATATGATCGCTAAAACAGATGAATTGTACATTTTTTGTCGTTTTTAAATGATCCTGTTTAAATGAATTTTAATCTGTATTTGTGCGAATGCTATTCCATAAACATTAAAGACGCCACCGACTTTTACTAGATCCACACATACTCGTGTTATTTACTCAGATTAATTATTTTATATGCATGTAAATTTACACAGTTGCTTTGACGTTCACAGACACTTGGGGTGTGGAGCTTAAAACGCCTTTAAAATCCAAATAAAATGTATATTTGTCAATCCCAGCACATGTAATGATCATATATATTAAAAAAACTTAATATAAGCCGTTTTGAAAAAAAATCATATTTCAACGTTCATAATAATACACGTATGAAATTAGACTTTAATTAATTCATAACATTGAATGTGACCCACTAATGTCTACCTTTTCTAACATTGGATCTCCGAATTCAGATCAGTCTAAGAGATGTTGTTTATAACATTGCAAACCTTTACATTGGTGGGATGTGTATAATTTTGCACAAAGTATCATCTAGTTATAAAATATGATATGTTTACTAGTCTTAAATTGCATTAAAGATCATGCATGATATTGTGGCGATATTGATTATCCTTTACAAATTTTAAGGTATGATCAGTAAAAGGTGTTTGCTAAGTGCATTATTAATCATAAAACTTTACAAAATTGGTGTATACGAGGGTTTTCCAAACAATTCGTGCACTGCAGTTATTGTTGCAAGACTTATTGATAGAAAACATGAATTATATATCACTTGAAGGAGAAATCTGTCTCAAATAAGAAAACAAAAGAAATAGCCGTGCAACCGTGCAAATATATCTCATAACATCCCGTTTTTTGTCCCACCAATAATTAAAATAAGATGTTGATTATGTAACTTGGTATGTAGACATCCCATGGGCAGTATATGAATTTTGATGATATTTGGGTTATAAGGTCAAAGGTCAAAATAACAAAAACTTTTTGTGTAAATCCTTTCTTATCAATATATTGTGAGGGAATTAGCCATGGTTAATGTTGCTTGGTAGACACACTACTCATGGCCTGTAGATGGTCCTATCTGATTTTGTGTTGATTAGATCAAATGTCAAAGTCACAGTGACACATTTTTGAAAAAAAATCTGAATTTTTCACATAATGATCGCAATCCTTGTCCGAAGTAACTTGAGAAAGAATAAGCCTTAGTTAAATAAACTGGGCAAAGACATTTTCCATGACCAGTAAATTTCCATTATTGGATTTGAGGTCATGAGCTCTAAGCCTTTTAAGGTCAATGTCACAGTAACATTTTTTTGGAAAAGCGTTTCTGCATAATGATGCAATCCATGTCCATCATTGAGAAGTATGTCAACTTAGTTTGATAAACTTGGCAGAGCGTACATGCCACATTTCCAGTCTCCCAGGTAGGGGATTTATCTTTAAAAAGCAGTGGATTTTGACCAAAAAGGTTTAATATAGTCCGCTATACGTTGTCTGTATGTCTGCTTATCTGCCGTCCACAAAACTTGACTTCTAGGAGACAAACTGTCCGATCACCCTACAATACGACTGCTGAATTGGCTATAATCAGGCAACACATGGTCACTGATCTCTCTTGTTTCCTTAATTTTTCCCATTCATTTCCCTGACTGCTTTTGTTACACGCAATAAAAAAATATTATCTTTAAATACTATTACAATAACAATGTTATAGAGCCTTCACAGATAAGTAACGAAAATGTTTGTGGTTCTTCTGAGGTTTTCCTCCACCAAAGAAGCTGGAAAGTAATTATATGATCTTTATAGCATGACTTAAAAGCCAACAATACAAGCAAATACATGTATACCTGTAAAACGTTTTCTTTTCATTCGACCAGACTTTTTTTCTGATTGTTGTTTATAAAATATATTACATTAAAGTTAAACCCTTTTCCACTTAAACAAGTTATCTTCTATCAGAAAGCCGGTTGGGGTACGAGTTAAATTAGAGATAGTTCTACTCTTATTCCTTGCTTACTTGAATTAAGATTAACAAAAAAGACTGCCTGAAAAAATTGAAGTCCTGTATGTTGAAGAATGTCAAGAAGTGTCAAAAATATAAATTATTAGATGATTTCTCTAATGAGTTGCTGATTTTATGATTGCAACTAAAATATTAAGGGGTATGAAGAGCTATGTTTAATGAAGTCATCTTATAAAATGTAAAAATGGTCAAATGGTAAATTTATGTTTTTTTCATATGTTGTTTCCATATTCTTATGGTTGATTATCCAGAGTTGTATTATAGAATGTTTCTATTATATAACACACATGAACACTGTACTGTAACAGAATAATATGTTCGGGAACAAAATATTATACTGCTATCTTAAATAGGATTTTAACTGTGTAGCAATGAGTATCTGAATTATCCATTTGCTGATAAGGAAATATACCAACATATTTTTTTCATACGGCTATTTTGAAACTTTTCTTTTACAAAATTCTAACAACACTTGAAAACTGCAGGCAGTAGATATATAGCATATATATATATATATATATATATATATATATATATATATATATATATATATATATATATATATATATATATACAGTTATTAAACATTCTTTATAACCCTTCTGTCACACCTCAATTTCTCTTCTTTTTTAAGAGTCAATGTTATTTCTGTGTGGATTGTTCAGACTTATTTATGAAAATGTCATGATTTAAAGTTATTAAAGAATTAGTGAAATAATATCAAAATCTTCTACATTCGTTTTAGAGCTGCACTGAGATGGTAATGCCAATATGTGCAGATAGTAAACAAGATATGTTTGAGCCAAGTCCCTGGAACTTTACACGGTTTAGTGTTAAACCGTGGGCAATATCATAAAAGATGGAAAACATATCCCAGAGAAAACTGGATAGTTTCTGAGTACTGGGGTAAAAGTTTAGAAACAGCCAGTAATATTATATTTAGGTATGTTTTTATTTTATTTCTTACCAAGTTTCAAATTTGAGAACATACAACTACAAAAGGTTTTGCTTATGTTAAAAATCACTTGAAGGTGTTTCCTATTGCTTTTTCGTTTTTTCATGGAGCTAAATATACATATATATATTGTATATATATATCTGTGATTTTTTTACAGAGGTAGAGAATGATATTTTAACCTAGTGAACAGAATTTCATAGAAATTTGCATAAAAAAGAGTATTATGACTGAAACCAATTGAAATAAAACGTGGGTCACCATTATTATATTGAGTTATCTGTCCCTGAAAGCAAGTTTTTGCTTGTTTTCAAGAGCAGATCACTTAAAACCAAGCATACTGATGTCTCATTAAAAATTATTCTTTGATATTTTATTTTCAGTTATTACAGTTCTATATATGATTTTTTTCTGTAGAAGTTGCTCTAACATGTTATCAAACAAAATATTATTATTTTGAACTTTATGAATAAATGTCGTAAGGTCAAAGATTAATGCTGTTGATCATTTTATTTTACTTACTGATGTAACAAATGTTATTTCATAAACCAAAAAAATCATGGATCTTATCTTAAAATATTTTGAGTTCAAACTGACCATGGTCACATCTAAGTGACTCTCAGGCAGTGTAAAAAGACAGGCAACTCATTAGCTTTTTCAAGTATGTTTTAACCGTTAACCTGCATTAACAGAAAGTGATTAGCCAATGCCACCAGTAAAGAGCTAGACCAGCCAGCACATATGTGCAGTTTGATCGGGTTCTATACTGTTGTCAGCTCAATTTTTTGCATTTTACAATAATCCATTACAATAATAGGCTCTATACTGTTTATAGTTAAATTAAAATCCCAAAATCATCAAATGAACAGTTCCAAATTCAAAACAGGAAAAGTCCATGATTTAAATTCAGCAGAAGAAACGGTAAGGCAGGTAACATATGAGGAAAAATGAATAGCACCATAGTAAGTAAGTAACATTATTTAACTTACACATTTGGTTTCACGATCATCGACGTGGATCCTTGCATTAACATACAATGTAACACAAATATAATACAGTCAACATTTAAACAACATAAATACACAAAATATCATATCTTCTAATGGGTGAATAGTTTGTTCTGTGACCCTTATTACAGTGTAATTCATTTTATTTTACCATACAAATCATATCAATGTACAAGGCAGACATTTCAAATATAATAACTAAAACCATGCACCAAATTTGCGTTTGATAGCTGTTTGGTAATCACATACATGCGATATTTCCAGCCACCCATATAAGGGGAGTTGGCTTTAACAAGCAGGAGATATGGACCAAAAATAAAGGGATTTCGAGGGAGACACTACTTCAGATGATGTGCTTATAGGTAATACGAAGTGTATCATAAAATTATGTTTTGCTGGTCAAGTGATGTATTAAATTGTTTGTCTGTTGGATTTTTGAAAATCAGCGGAATTCAATCAAATGGTAGGAGATTGGGAGACAAGGCCGAAAATCAGGAAATTTTCTTCCCAGACATGGGG